CCCCCCCTCTCTCTTCTCGTCTCCCCCCGCTCCCCCTTTTTTCGCTCTCTCGACCGATCTTTCTTTCTCTCCGTACACGAGCGCACGTATCTATCTGGTAATTGTATCGTTTACAGCAGCTGGCAGGCCTCTCGGCCTTTTTTCCCCGTTACGTATCCTGCACGGGGAATTGGGCCGCCAGCGTGATATTATAAAGGCTCGCATGACCCCATTGTTAGCATTACTTTTCATCGAGATATACGCGCACGTTGTTGCCGTACGTACGCTCGTAGACTCCCCCACGATGTGTGCATGGTGTGTGTTTATGTGTGTGTGTCTCTCCATTAAATCTGCTTGTCGATTAATCCCATAACCGAAAACGAAGTCCGCGCGTTCGCCACTGCCGTGCACTAGTATCGTGAGAATAATTCAGCCCAGCCCTGAACACGATGAAAACCGCGGGGCCAGATAAGCCTTGAACTTTATGGTATATAGTAAACGATACGCGCGGATCCGCGTCGGCTTTTTTATTGATAAAAAATGAAAACTGTTCCGCGCCTCGATTGGAAAACTCGAGTGGATCGTAACGCGTCCGGATGCCGGGTCATTATTGGCCATTTCGGTGCTGCGCGCCGGGGCAGTTTAATGATAAAGTCACGATGTTAGCGAGATCGTTTATTTATTTGTGACGCTTATTTATCGATCTGGCAGCAGCGACGGCAGTCGCGGCTGTACAGTAGTTTACTGCGCGGCTTGTTTAATTACTGCGGAGAAACCGGAGCGGTAGAGCGGTCTCCTCTCTCCATTTACGGGGATCTTTACAGCTCTCGAAGCACGGCCAGCGGTCACTAATCTCTTCTTACAATCGTTCTTAATTTACGGAAATTAATTGAAAACACAAATCTGAGGGGTGCCTTTCTTTCCAGCGTCCGCTGCCCTCCGCCCACGCCCGCCATCACCACCCAGCCTACTCCCGCGCTTCGCTCGTAATTCTCGGTAATTAATAATCTGCAACAAGTAATAATAAAGCCAGTAATCCGGCTGCGCGGCGCCGCGGCGAGCAGCGTTCTTAATTCTGGATAATTAATGCAAAGACAAACAAGAAGGATTAAAACCGAAGCTCCCACCCACCCGTTCTTTCTCTCGTTGTTTCTCCGTACTTCTCTCCCTCTTTTTTAACGCTGCCCGCGCTTCGCTTCTCGTTCTATAACGTTGCCGAAGATGGCCGACCGGTGTAGCCATGCAAGATATTGCACTCCTCTTTTATCTCTCTCTCTCTGGCTCTCCTCCTTTCTCAATCTTTCTCTCTTACCTCGCAAAACTCACCAAGTTTGGAACACGCGATCGTGTTTTCTTCGCGACAACAAGATATCCACTCTCG